CCCTAACATTCTGTGATTCTGTGACAGCTGAAATGCCTTTCTTGCAAGTTTGTTATCATTTTGTCTCTGTTCTTTCCATGGCTTCTTGAAACCTACTCTTCCATGATCTCATTCTTTCAAGTTACTTTTCTGTCTTTAGATCTTTAACCTACCCCTTTTCCTCTTTAGCCAAAACAAAATTTAAAGCGTGTGCTTCGGTATTTATCCTCCACCTTCTAAAACAGAAGTATCTTGAACATACTCTAGTCTGCATTATATCATTGCTTTTCATTGCTGTAATTCAGATGATTAAGGTAGCGTTGACACTAGGTCCTATCATTTGGTTTAGTTGCTCGAAAGAGCTTCATTTTTCCATCCTTCTGATGAAGTGGTATGTAGAGGGTCATCACACTGTTGTTCATTCATCTGAAACGAAGTGGTTAACAAACCATATATTCTTCCTTGACTTCAGGATAAGTAATATGCACTGAAGCAGTTAAACTCTTTAATCTCAGCTCTCTCTTCGAGCGAGTTGTCCGCTCTCCGCAATGCCCATATTGTCTGGCAAGTTAATTTTTGGGGGGTTTTTCCTGTCTATTCCAATCCTTCTGGAATTTGTACACATGCTCTTCAAATATTCTAACCAGATGCAACTCAACAAATGCACGTTTGATTTTATGCCTGTTGCAGTTAACATATGATTACATTCAGACTGATTAATCCATGTTAGAGTTGAAAACACATTAAGTTAGTAAATATTCAAGCCTGAAGAAACAAGCTTCCTAAGAGCTTTTGGTCATTAGAAGAACATAAAAACAAGTAATTATTTACATTGTTTTATTCTGGATTTGATTTTTTTGATGTGAAAATTTAGGATGTCAACATCTGAGTGGTTGACCTAGCTTCTTTCTATAATCCATATTTTACACTTGACTTAGCTGAAGTTCTGCAGGACAATAGTTTTTCTGTCCTTATTAGAATGAGACAAGTATCTCCTGAGAAGATTCGCTGTTTCTGAGTAGATGTCTGTATTTAGTCAGCTGACATCTAGTTTGTATGCTTTTCAAATGTATGCTAGATCTTCTAGAAAGTTTTGCAGTAATTTAATGAAATTAGTGTAGTGATACTTCCAGAAAGTATGTGGTTAAATGTTGCTCTTTAGCTCTTAATCCTGCTTTAAAGGTGTCAGTTGCATCTATACCTTACCCAAAGATCCAAAATAACTTAATTTTTTAAAAGCCGATATATAAATTGCATCAAACTTTTACTAGTGAGGGTTGTCTTGTGCTAAAATTTTGGAATGATGAGTTAAAGCATTAATTCATGAATGCACAGATAAATTCAGACATGCTGATGTGTTAAGTATCACCACACGTGCAGATAGCACACAGCTAGAATGAAGCAGCATATTTACTGGTTTGAGCTATCTTTAATATTGGAATTCATTCTCTATTGCGAGAACCTTATTTTCTAAGCAGTGAGCAGGACATCCTGAAAAGTTTTATTGCCATTTCTGGCACTACACTACACACTTCCATTCAGAATGAAAATCTGCAGCTTTGCATACCAGTGCCAGGTGGCATTTGGTAGCGTTTGATGTTTCTCTTACGAAAAGTTCAGGTGTGCATAAATAGCCTGTTAGATGTCCTCCATACAGTTTCCAAAAGTGGGACAATGTTATTGTGAGTCATTACAGATTACATGTTATTGTGCTGTCTGGATGTTGCTGCAGTTGCTAAAATAAACCATGTTCCATGGAAGCCAATATCTTTTTAATCTGATCAGTGAACTAATTGGCAGAGAGGTTCGTATTTCAGATTTTTAAGGGAGTCATCCTGTTTGCTGACTGTTATTCTCTGTCCCAAGAAGACCAAAATATGCGTAACAATTGTTCATGACAATTGCCTGATGGCAACCCGTGCAGAAAAAGAATGGGCACTTTGTTTAGGATACAGTGTTGAAAATTGGGCCAAAAGGAAATACGATTAAGGAAGAATACAGGAGTAATAATCAATAGAATGACAGTTAGTATGTACTTCATGCTAAAGAGCAAAAAAGAAAAATCTGAATACTCTTAATGCCTGCATTTTTCTGGTTTTTAATTAATGCTGATTTATTTTCAGATGTCAAAGACAACTCTTTCAGTCGGTCCCGGAGTTCTAGTGTAACTAGCATTGATAAAGAGTCACGCGAGGCAATTTCAGCTCTTCATTTTTGTGAGACTTACACAAGAAAGGCTGATACATCACCTTCCCCATGCCTGTGGGTTGGGACCACACTGGGTACAGTGCTTGTCATTGTACTGAACTTACCCCCAGGAGGAGAACAAAGACTTCTTCAGCCAGTAATTGTTTCTCCTAGTGGTATGTACAAAGCAGACGGACTAAAGTATACTTTGGTGAAGTATTGTTGTAGTTCTTTTGTTTTAAAAAAGCAACTGTTTTTCTGAATTATGGATTAATTGAAACTTAATTTATACTTCATTGATTTAGCTACTAAGTTTAACAATCTAGATTGGTTACTGCATTACCAGAGTTTTAAAGTTGCAAAGCTGAAAATATGATCTCATACAATATAAAAATACTGCTTTAATATAAACTTGCTGAGAAAAGCATGTTTTCTAACCTTAGTGGCAATTATTAAACAGAAATAGCAGAAGAGGTGAGTAGTTCAAATGTTCGATTTATTCTTTTTTAGTCATGAGGTAGGAAACTTTCAGTTTTCCTGCATCATGAAAAGGGGATACAAATTAAGGGTTGTATATTGAACAACTAGTTTAAAATAGTAGTGATAAAATATTCCTTTTGATTGTTGTGAGAGGTCTTGTATCTTGTTTTTCTGCAGTAACTGATTTTGTTGTAACTATGTATTGTTTGCTGAATGTGCTGTTAGGCACAGATTTACCTTGCCTGCTACCACTGTTTCATGCAGAACATACAGCTCTGCTCCACTTTGCTCAAACAGATGGTATCAGGACATGCAAACTGCAATGCTACTTGATTGAAATAGTGATTAGGAATAGTGCGACCTCTAGACCATATTTGATTTGTGCTTGTTGAGTATAGTATTGGCAGCAGTATTCAGATTTGGTAACATTGGATCGTGAAAGCAAGGCTGCAGACTGGACAGTATGTTTAATCACTGAATCTGCAGCATGAACCCTAAAAGGTACTGCCATGTATATGATTTTTTGTGTACCTAGCAAATGTTCATGTCTTTACTTGTGCGTGAATAAATATAAGTAAAATAAAAAAATGTATTAGCTTAAGATCTGGTCTACAGAGACAGTGATTTCAATGGTGGGGAGCGGAAACTTTTCCTCCTTCCTGTTATGCTAGAGAAAGGAGTTCAAGCATGAACTGCAGTGGGAAAAAACCTCATGTTGCTTGTTTCTGAAGAAAAAGGAGGTGCTCATCTTTGAGTAATAACATTTATTGTTGATATTAAGCACACTGTGTACTTCTCAGGAGAGAAAGAAACTAGTCGCATTTGTGACGCTGAACTTGAATACAAATGTGCATTCCAGCTTGGCTCTCATAATAAATGTATATGTTTCTGCTGGAGTTAATAGAAGAGTATGCATACACTTAACCCTCGAAAACCGGTTTAACATTATCATTGCTATATATGTGCTCTTGCACGTGTTTCATTGGTTTTTAGATGAATATCCAAAGGTTTTGGTGTGTCTGTTTTGCTACAGAGGCAGGCCTAAGTTATTGTTTTCATTTTGCTAGCTTCGTAAAGGAGTATTTTGTAGCTTGAAAGACAATTTAGGAGAGCTGTTTTAGAAATGTGCTCAACTTTTTTCCTAGGAACCATCCTGAGGCTAAAAGGGGCAATCTTGAGAATGGCTTTTCTGGATACCACAGGATCCTTGGTCCCACCAGCACATGAACCCTGGAGGGAACACAATGTTCCTGAAGATAAAGATGAAAAAGATAAATCAAAAAAGCGACGACCTGTCTCAGTGTCCCCCTCTTCCTCTCAGGAAATCAGTGAAAACCAATATGCAGTGATATGTTCAGAAAAGCAAGCAAAAGTTATCTCACTGCCATCCCAGAACTGTATTTATAAGCAAAACATAACAGAGACTTCTTTTGTTCTTCGTGGAGATGTAGTGTCGTTGAGTAACAGTATCTGCCTTGCATGTTTCTGTGCCAATGGACATATTATGACTTTTAGGTAAGACCTGCTTGATAGTAACTTAAATATAAAATGAAAAAATAATCTTCTGCTAGATGAGAAGTTTCCTTTTCCATAGGAATATGAATAAAGCAAATCTACATTCGCTCAGTGTTGGTGTACCTCTAACACTTGAGCCTGGATAATGTTGATTGTGCATTCCTATTTGTTATGCCTTTAACACATGAAAAACTTCACTAGTTTAGCTCAAGCTACCAGTAGTCAACAAGTCAACAAGTAGTTCCAAACATGTGATATAGGTTCTTGAGCTGATGAAGATTATCAAATGTGAATTTATTCCATGATGGAGAAAACTGCCTTCAGTCAGACCTTCAGCTGGTACCTGGCCACAACTCTGCATGTTTTTGTGCAGCTGTTTGCATCACACTCATGCCTCAAACTTACCTTTTTGTCGTGTAGCTTGCTCATGTCTTAAAGGCCTTAAACTCAGGCTATAAAGGCAAGATTAATTGCTAGCAGTTGTAGTGTAGAAAGAAGTCCTCTAAAGTAAGGGGTTTACGTTATGAGTTTAAACATGTAAAAGTAATGTTTGAATAGACATACATGTCATCTAAGTAATTTTAACATGTCCTTTCTTGAATATTTCCAAATGCTACTTTATTCTGAACAACAGTGTGTATATATCTATACCCTTGCACCTACATTTCAGTCATGAGTAAGGCCAAGATGAATGTGGAACATGGCATTATAAAATTGTTCCAGTAAAATTCCTAAAAGTTTATTTTTCAGGTTGCGAAAACAAGCTCTCAGCTTGGGACATTAACTAAAATGATACTTCTTCAGGAAATTGTTAGGAATAAAACTAAAGCTAATCTGATGCATACTGCAATTAAAAAATCCATTTTGATCATAAGTCTCCACTCCATCGATCTATATCCCAGCATATGTTCTAAACATCTCCAGAAAATGCTGCTCATCTTGCAGGGCAAGCACTGTTTTTTTCCTGATTAAAACTTCATTTAATAATGTTCAGACACCATATATTCAAACAAATCCTGTTCCCCTCTGGGTTCATTTTGTTTTCTTAAGAATTTTGCATAGAGGTAGGTGCTAAACTACAAATATTGGATTCTTACATTGTGTGGGGAAGTTGAACTCCTGGGTATTAACTTCATTTCATAAGCATGAATTGCTGCTGGGAAGTGGACTTAATATGCTGTTTGTGTAAAGCTGTCAGAGCATTGTATCATACCCAAGATGCCCTATACTTATCTACTGATATAAATTTAGATGGGACTTGTGATTCTGTTACAAATTTGTTTGAAATTTGCTTGACAATGCTATCTGGATGTCATGCTTGTCCTATCTGATCTAATGGTTTTGTGTTTTTGTCTTGAAGCTGTGAGGATGTTTTGTGCTTCCATGGGTCTGAAGCAAAACACTTCCCTGTTACTAACTCATTCTTAGGAATATTCTTATTTTAGATGTGTGTACAGCACAAGTGTCATTTCTGGGTGATGTGCTTACAAGAGAATATTGCTTTTTTGCTTACTTGTAGAACTTGCTTCCAAAGTCATGTTACACGTCCTCCTTCCTTTTGTTTGTTGTAGATAAAGTCTCCTGCTAAGAGACAATCTGCGATCTGTAAAATGCAAGCTTAACATTTAGAAATCTCAGTATCATACTGAAAAAAAAAAAACCCACACTGTTGTGGACGTTGCTACATCTGTCTTTTTTTCTTTGCTTTTGGCTTCACTCTACCCCTTTACTGCTCTTTTAGTTTCTAGATGTAATAATCTTCTGCAGATGGTATCTGCAGCAGAAGCTGCTTAAGGTATTGTCGGTACATCTGCAGCTAACATCTTGAGCAAGCTATGTTTTTACAAAAATTTCCAGGGGATGTTTTCAAGACGACGGTTTATTTTGGATTCTATATATCAAGACGTCAGGTGTTCAGTCACTTCTTATTTGCATTTATTATTACTTTGAGGGAGAGTAATGTTTGGTAGCAAGAGCATTGTTACAGCCTGAGTGTGCTGCATCTGTGCTTCAGTAGCTTGATGCAGTGAATACAGCAGTTACATGTGCAGAATCAGAAAATACAAGGTAAGCGAACTTTGCTCTGAAAGGACTTCCTCTTAAATATGCAGTCAGACAATAAAGGTAGACATAATTCATAGGATTGATTGAGGCTACTGAATTCTGCTTTCCTTTGAAAGCACACCCCTATGTATTTCGAAGTGTTCTTGAGATATTTTAGACTTGTGTTTTCAGTCAAGGAGAAATTCTGCATCTGAGGGGAGGCAGGATGTTTAATTGTAAACTTTTGGCAGATACTTCAAAATACTTTATTAGTAATTACCGAATAATGCTTTAAGTGAATCTGTGCTTTACATGTTCAGAGTGTATCATTTAAATGATGCTTTAAAATGCATCTGTGATACAGATGTTTAAATTTCACTTTTAAGGTGCTACCTTGAAAAATTTCATATTTATGTTTTGAGATTTTGTAATTGCATCAAATGATACCCTGTTTTTGTGGTACTTAAGCAGATGGTAAAGAGAAAAATAATGTATTGCAGTTTTAAAATGAGCCATTTGATCAATAATAGACTATCCTGCTGTATTTAATGGGTTTTTAAATTCTTTTTCTTAAGTTTGCCAAGTTTAAGGCCATTGTTGGATGTATATTACCTGCCACTCACCAATATGCGGATAGCCAGAACGTTCTGCTTCACCAACAATGGACAAGCACTCTATCTTGTCTCACCAACTGAAATACAGAGGCTCACCTACAGTCAAGAGACATGTGAAAATCTTCAGGTAATGAATTAAAAATAATTACTGTTTTCTCAGATATGCTCTCAGGTTCTTGGTTCTAGATTCATGCTGCTTACAGGAATGAAGTTTGTCATAAAGCCAAGCACTTTGGCTTTTGTGCTTTGATTTTTCTCACTGTAGAGTCTGATTCAGGATGAATCACTTCTCCTAGTCTTAAATTTTACTGTTTGATCTATCCTCTTGTGTTTGAAACAGTTTATTATTTAATTTCTTCTTTGATCAGAAATTTCCTTGTTTAACATGTGCAGTTAACAAAAGACCCTTGTTCAATCGATGTTGGTATAGGTGCATGCTGACATAAGCGGGGAATGCTATCTCGGGATACCTGAAGGAAGCTGTTATGTTTCAGGGGTATTAACAGCTTGAAAAGATTCTGTCATGCTTCTGCCTGGAAGCTGTATAGAATACTGGAATAGCAGACATGCAGGCTGTAAGCTCTACTGTGGTACCACACGTGGATATGAGTATTTGCAGATTCAGTTTCAACAGAATAAAACTGGGAGTGTGGTCCAGGTGTTTGAGGGGCAAATATAGCTTTACTTGAGCACAGTTTCTTGCTACTGACTTTCATGAACTGTGAACTGACAGCTATCAGAACAGATGGTTTGGACAGATTTCTTGATATGTTTTTAATTTCCTGAGTCACCTTGCAAAGGCACATACCTGTTAAAGCATATTTATTTTGAAATTCAAATCCATGAAATAAATCCTTAAGTGAAAGAATATTCCATTAATTTGTGTGAAATAATGTATGCCGTGTTGTGTCTCTTCTTTGTTGTGAAGGAAATGTTGGGTGAGCTCTTCACTCCTGTAGAAACACCAGAAGCACCAAACAGGGGTTTCTTTAAAGGCCTGTTCGGAGGTGGGGCACAGTCCCTTGACAGAGAAGAACTATGTAAGTTTTTAGTATTCGTTATTTTTCTGGTATTCCTACTCAAGGAAGCCAGTGATCCATGGGAGAAATGTATTACTTGTATTAATAGAACATTATATTTGTAGAGAAGAAAGTAAAAAGGGGAATGGCATACTTTTCCATAGCTTTACCGTTAAGATCAGAAAAGCTTGGTACCGTTTTCTCACGGGCTCCTTTACCACATTTACTCAGGAGTAGATTATAAACCAAGAAATGGGACAACTGATCTTATTTGTATTCATCTCTATGCAGTGTACAGTACTGACCATGATTTTCTTAATGCTCTTAAACTGAAAGGGGCTGGTTCTAGAGAACACTATTCTGGACAGTGAGAAAATTAAAACTCCATTCTATTTCAGTTCATTTGCTAGATTCTTTCCTCATTTTACTTGTGCAAAGATGCCTTAGGAATGAGAGCAAGGACAGAACTCTGTGATAGTTCAATGGAGTTCTCGGTTCATAGGACAGTAATATTCAGATTTGGCAAATGTTGTTATTGCTTTATCATTTTCTCATTGGTTTTTGATTACAGCTTTATATTTTTACTGTGGTGGCATGCAGCATTTTAATATATTTAATGAAAATGACTTCTACTTATTCAGATATTTGCTAGATGAAACACACTATTATGCAAGTTTATTTGTAAGAAAAACTGTTTCCTGTTTAACATGAAACATAGCTGTTAAAACAGACAAGGCTTCCTGGCAAGCCTTTCTTTTTTATTGGTTCTTTTGATCTATCCAATAAAAAAATAAATTAGCCTTTACTACTAGTGCCTCTACATTTTGAACAAATAGCAAATACTTAGAGGTCACTTTCTGCATTAAAAATTGCATTTGTATTTATATGTGTGTAATACTTTGAAAGGTTGGTCAAGTATTCTAATAGAGAAATTTGTGTGCACAAATTGTATGTTTAATTAGTATGGCTGGGATGGAAAAACTGCTTTTTCATAGCAACAGAAAAGCGCTCTTGTAACTTTAGCAGCTATCTCTTCACATCATTTCAAGTTTCCACAATCAAGTTTTAGCTCAGATCTTCAGAAGGTAAATAGTACTGAATGGGAGAAAAAAGCCTAATGAATTGTAGCCTGAAAGTGAGTTCAATGACAATTCAAAAGACATTTGAAAATGTCTTTAAAATAGTCATATTTAACATGAGTCACAGCAGAATCTGTAATGAGTGAAATTATTTCTCTTTTTATTCCTGGAAATTCACAGAAAGGTGTTTATAGTGTTAGTTGCAATCTAAATCATTCTTTCTAGAAGCATAAAAGCAAATCAGAAAATCTTGAAATACTGCAACAAAACTTGTGAAATAAGTTAATAATAATTTTCCTGGAGGGGGAGGGAAATATTTAAACCATAATTCCATTGTTTAAAACCAAAAAAGTTAAAGATTATTTGGTTTGACTTCAGCATCCAAAGTTTTTGCATAATATACAATTTTGTGTGAGATTAACATGTCTGTCAAGTGTCTAGACCGATGTGCTGTTATGAGCAAAGGAAATGTAGCCAGTGTGGTCATGGGAATCGAGAGCTGTTCAGCTGACCCCTCCTGGATGTTTGCTTTAGGATGAGCTAATTTGTTCTTACAGCTGTACTACCTTTTTGTGATTTACATTACTTTTTTTTTCTTAGAATATTTTTACAATAATGAGAGCATAGACACCTAATCTTCGGGTGTCTGCATCTAAAACTGAACTTCCATCAAAGGAAACTTCTGCTGGTGGAGTTGTACTGACTGGCTACACCAGCAAAGCACTTCCAGAACTGACCACAGCTTGTGTTTTCAAAATTCTCCTGCTTTGTATGCTGAACTCCCTTCCCTGTGAAGCAGGCTATATTGTTAAAAACCACTTCACCAGCATGTTTCTGTTGACTGTGATGCCAGCCCTGTTGAGAGAATTTTAATTTCACACTCGAGCTGCGAAAAGGTTGTATTTTTATCATCTGCCTGGAGACTCTGAAATGTTTGAAAAATCTCAGTTTTATTAAATAGTAACACCAAGTAACGTTGAGTAGCGAGTATTGCTCAGTCGTGCCTGTGATTAGGTGTTCAGTGTCCATGCAAAGAAATGATACCTCTTTATAAACTAGTTCCATTGATATTTATGTAATGACGATAGAAAACCTTACTATTTTGGTTTTTTGCTTTGCAAATGTCTCCAGTTGGAGAATCGGCATCTGGGAAGGCATCAAGAAGTCTTGCCCAGCATATTCCAGGGCCTGGGGGTATTGAAGGTGTCAAAGGAGCAGCATCTGGTGTAGTTGGTGAACTAGCACGAGCCCGGTTGGCACTAGATGAAAGAGGACAGAAACTAGGAGAACTGGAAGAAAAAACTGCAGCTATGCTTTACAGTGCTGATTCTTTCTCTAAACATGCTCATGAGGTGAGTCTGTTGCATGTTAAACTAATTCTCTCTCAAGTAAGTGCAAGTTTTGCAAGTAACTGACTTCTGCAAAAACATGTTGGGCGTATCTAAAGGGAATGCAGTATCACTGATAAAGGACTCTTCACTTTAGTCTATCAATCACTACTCCTAATAACTATTCATGTAAGCAGCTCTGTCTTATGGCATGTTGGTCTAGAGCATACCCTCTGCCCGAGTGGCATGTACGCTTCCAAATGAGCGGCTCAGTTCCCGTTACTTAAAGAATTTGCAACTGAATTCGATAAGAAGAGTAGTGCTCTGTGTGAGATTCCTGTGGTTATTGAGATCTAGTTGTCGTATGCAAATCCCATGAATCCAAGCTAATTTGCCTCAGTAACTATTCAGGGTGGGTGTTCTCTTCTATGTTCCTGCAGATCTCTTTCCATCCTCTAAACTCTTGTGCAACTTCCCATTCTCCCAAAAATGTCTTTTTCCATCTGAGGCTAGGTCATCAGCAGTGGTGCTAGCATTAGAAAACTCATCATGCTAAACCCTTGCTGTTCAGCAATGTTGCTGTTGGAGTTTTGAGAAGCCTTACTAAAGTCCCTCTTTCTCATGATGCTGTGTAAGCATATCATTTGTTTGTATCATTGTACCTTTTTGGTGCATTATAGAAACAGTAATTAGAAATTGGTTTTTTGTTCTTTTTTTAGATGATGTTGAAGTACAAAGACAAGAAGTGGTACCAATTCTGATGACGCTCATCAATTACATCTGTTGAATTTTGTCCTGATGAAAAAATCCTGGGTTTTCATTGATTTTGGCAGGACCATTGAAATTTGAAGGAGTATTCACCATTGGATACTGTTGTTTCCTAGCACAAATCACACACTGTTTTACCTCAGTTGTGGCTTTAACTGAGGAGCTATATGTCTAAAAGAAACACACAGAAAAAACCAAACTTGAGTGTTTCTTAGCTGTTGGTTATCTGAGAGTTGGAACAGAGCACGTAACTAGAACATGTGGCAAAGATTAAAGGGAAAATATAGTGTGAGATGGGCAGGGGCAATGCAGGGTCAATCCTGTGTTAGTATTTCATATCCCAAAAGTTTTTGTGCTATTGTAATTGCTGGCAGTGTTATACCCTCCTGTGAGGAGAGGCAATAAATCAGGGGTCCAGGAGCTGGAATAAAGTTGTTTGTCTTGCTGAACGGTAGCTGACTTGCGCTTACCCTCTCTAGGACTCACTATATTTACCATTATTGTTGAAGAGCTGAAGTTTGCTGTCACATCTTTCATCAGAAAAGCTGGAAGCTTGGAAGATTTCAAGTTGAAAATTATATACGTAGTTGACCTGTGCATAGTCTTTTCTTGGACCCCTGATGTGGTATTCTTGTATTCACATCATATTCTGTGAAGTGCAAAACAAGAGAATACACAATTTTTGCATTAAAAAGTCAAGTGAATAATATGACTGAAATGTGTCATGCTGGGAGTTTTCATTTGTGTTATGGCCATGCAATGTGAAACGTGGTAACATCTTCACGATGGTAAGAATACTTCAACTATCTGTTCAGTTAAATATAATTTTTTGCCAAAAATAGTTATTGGTTAGTTTGTGTAACATTTAGAATTGGCTGTGGGTTCCATTCATGCTGTGAATTTTTATAAATGTTTAACAGAATGTATCTTACAGCCATTAATTAAATTAACTGAGATAGTTTTGCTCAAAACTTAAGTTCTAGGTGCCCCTTTAGTCCTTTACTATGAAATCAGATAATCTTGGACTCAGGTTTTCAAATAGTTTTACACTCCATGGAGGTGCTGATGCATGAATAATGGCAAGCATCTAATATTTAATAATTGTCAGTATATTGTTCAGCAAATTTCTAAATCCTGCTAGTAAGTTATTTTACGAGTACCTGTCTCAGCCCCACCTAGCACTAAAGGCAGTTGGCCTAAAGTTTGGGTTTAGTCTCTAAAGCAGTGTTTTCAATAATGTGGGCTGTGTAAGTGTCCACTAAAATTTCAGGAATTGGTGAAATAATGTTCCGTTTGGATGAGGTAAATAATATAGCTGGGCTAACTTGTTAATGGCTACTGCACTGAAGCTGTAACAGTGGGAATGACCAGAGCTCTTTTAAAAAGAGAGGATTCATTAAAATAAATGTTTGCATTTCGGGAATTAGTTTAGACTTTTTTCCTCAAAGGAGGAATAGTTATTGACTGGTTTTGTTTTGTAAAATTAATTATTAGAAGCTGATAGGCCTACATTGTCTGAAATTAATCATTTGGATTTGATTCTCCAACCATCACTTTCTGTGTGTTTTTTTCATGCACTTTCCAAATGTTCCCAAAACCTTGGTTATATTTGTATTGTAAAGTGATGTTGCAGGTACACAGATACGGCAACCTTACAAAACACTTAAAGGATGCAAAATGTTCACGTTACTGATGGTTCTTAATTTTTCAAATGAAGGGCGAATATGTTTGGGCTTTGTAGCACAAATTGAGAAATTTTGTGATTTTATGTATAGTAAGATTTAAAAAAGACAAGTGCATTCTCTTGTCAGTACGAGGGCATGCCATACCATGTCCACTGTTCGACGAACATAACAAATGAGGATGTGACAACCTGAACAAGCAGCATTGTGACTTCTTGATGGCTCTGTCCCATACCTACTGAGGCAATGTCAACTCTAGTTACTTAACTCAGCTTGCCACTCAATTTTTGCCTCTACATGTTAGTTAATTCCTTTTTTTAGTGTCTAATTAATGCATATTTAAATTAACATAATTTTGTTAAAAATCCAGGTAGAAGAAAATTAGATAAACAACTACCCATACCATTTCCTGACGCTTGTCTCCTTCTCTCACATTTATAAATTGAGATGACTGATTATTATTTGATCTGGTGAAGAACTATATTTCAGAGCAACAGAATCCTGGAAAATTAGTCTGGTCAGGCTCTGGGGGAAAGGATGCCAAAAGTACTCTTCAGCAAATCATGGTATCAGTTCAATGAAAGATGACCTTGGCTTGAAAGGAAAGCATACTTAACTTTCCCATCAAGAAACATTTGACAACCACCAGCAAGCAAAAAATAAGAGGCAATGAGAGACCATCTGCCAGTACAAGAAGAGTAGTGGCCTACTTGGTATTGCAGGATTTATTCTAGTTGAATCTTTTTTTGTTACGTATGTTCAGACTGTGCTTCTAGATTTGGAAACTAATGAAGTGATTGCTTGTGAGATGAATACACAAATGGTTCTTGGTCAATAAAAGGGGCTATGTACAATTTTAGTCTGAAACGTTCATTTTTCCTTCTCTGTGGAAGGAAGTTGATCGTATATGCATCATTGCATCTTATTCGGCTATGGTGGTGCACCTTTTGTACAGCAAAGTACATTGAAATCCTTGCGGGGAAGCACCCCTGGTTTTTTTGCTAGCATTTTAGTTGTGTAAAACTTTTTTAGAGTGTCTGGAAGACTATAAAATACAATTGAGCTATTACTTTTTAAATTTTTTTGGAAGAAGTGTAAGAAACTGCTGCTACCTATCTGTTTATATGTAGTGTGTCTCATTAGGAACTGTAAACTGAAGAAGCTTTTCTTCACCTTAGTCCTGCCAAATTGTAACTTTTGAATGTTGATATGTGTAAATATGTGTGTATTCCAAATAAGTCTGAAAGTGTTACACCACAGGCATCTCCAGTGATTTGTTCATCAGCAAAGTCAGTTATAAAATATAGTAATATATAGCTGTGTTCCTTGGCTGTCTTTATGCAAAGAGTTTTGCCTGAGGTGGTAATTGCATGGCAGGTGATGTTGGGAAGCTACATCCAAAGGAGGATTTTTGGAAGCAAGTTAATTTCCTTTCCTTTTTGTTTTCCTTTTCTCTTTTCTTTTCTTCTTTTTTTTTTTCTTAATGGCACTGATCTTACCTGAACTTTTAAACTTGAATTTTTCCTGCACTTTAATTCAAGCACGGTGTTTTACTCCTTAATTTTGTTTCTACATTTGTGCAGTTCAGGTTCATTATTTGTATATAAACACACACATTCAGCAAAGATTTTAGAACAGATTACTTTTGGGCACATTTGCTAATTATGTGACTATCATTTAGAATGTGTGTTTTCTTAGCAAAATATGTATATACAAGTATATACAATATAGAATCTAATGAAAAGCACTTATCCTGTGTCAGCATTCAGTTTATAAATTACTGCAACACTTTCAGATTTGTTACTAGATAATACAATAAAATCTGTTATATTTATACATACTGCTTAAGAATATACTTTTAGTTTTAAGTAAGTTTTTATATGTACACTTCTACCTTTAATTTTAAAAATACTTATGTTCAATTTTTAAGTCAAAGTACTTAAAGTATGTATATTATCCATAGAAGAAGTTGTTTTAAGCTTATGAATACATTCATATCTCATATCGAGATGATACAATTACTAAGCAATGAAAACAAATAGCCCATTTTGCTTCGCAGAAAATAATCATACTTATTTTTAACTCCCATTTTGAACATTCTTAAACAATTCCCAGAGTATGGAGAGGGAAGATAATGCATTCAGAAAACGAACCTAATGTAAAAGTCTTCTCAATAGCTGCAATCTGTGGCTGACTAGTTTTTCTATGATTTTATTTTTTTTAGGTATACATGTGAAAGACTTTTTTTCAGCTCTATTCTTCAGACTTTTAAAATTCCCCAAAATTGAAGTGAGGTTTGTCCAATAAATATTTTCTTTGAGTCAATGTATGAATCTTGATTCTACATCAGCTCTTTACATGTAAATCAGGGGTTTTTTGTATACCTAACATGTGTCGGAAGACTTACAGCCTGCGGCTGAAGAACTGAAGTCAAGAAGGGAGGGAGAGAGCGCGAAGGCGAAGCCTCCCTCTCTGTGTTGCAGGGTAACTTGGTGGTTGAACCTTTTCTTCATTCTAGCCAACTTCCTCTATAATTTGTGTGAATCTCTTTGGATGGATGTTGATAGCTTTGCTACCGCCACAAAATCTTCACATACTTTGTAGACAGAAATTAGTGATGTTTGAGGAGAGGAAGGAAGTAAAACAGAAAAAAAGATGTGTAGCATAGGCGAATCAGCTAAGCCAATTTTATTGCAGTTTTTGTTGAAAACCTAAGTTAAGCTGGGCCAATTTCTCCTTCTTATGCATGTTATAAAGATGTACTGGATATCATCTCCTTTATTTCTGTTTCAAGCCAGATGAGTGTACTGTGTTTCTGCATTCTTTTACACTTCATAAAATTTAAGCATAAAGATGTGGGCATTCATTTTCTAAAAAAAGAAAAGAAATGAGACAAACGTAGAACAATCAAATGAAAGGTGTCAATCAGTATTCCTTTTATGTTTCCCTGTAAAGCACTTAGAAATGTTGAAGTCACACAGCTGTCGGTTACTTTGACACTTGTATTTCTTTTTGTTGGTACCTAAGTTACATATTACCAGGCAAATAATAACTAGAAGTTAAACTGTTTCAGTTGAAAACACGTAAGGAGTTGTATGTGGATTACCACTACCATTCAGTAATAGGTGATGCAAAGGGAGAGGGGTGGGAACGTGTTTTAAATATTCCCTTTGAAAACAGAGTTGTAAATAAGCAGTACTGTGTTATTTTAGACCTGAGCTCTGCTATCTGTAGTGGTTAGAACTAGGAAAACATGCTGCTCTCTAGTTATGCTACTGTTCCATTGTACCAGCACCATGGGGGAAAAAATTAAAAAAAAAAATCAGTAAATTTTTCTAACATTGCTCACACTTGTGGGTAAGCATGCTTGATGTGTAGCTGTTCTTGTTTATGTATATCTTAGTGTGTACATGTGTGTTTTCTTTTTCCTTTTTGTTCACTGCAACTTATTCTTCATTTAAGTCTTGCTGAGCCCCACTAGCTCTTCTGAGGGTGATTACTGGAACATGCATTTTTAGGTAGGGTTGCAAATCCATCTGTCTACAACTATAGTTTCGTATGAACTGCAAACCGTACTGTTA